TCACAGTCAGCAGACACATTCCAGCCAATTAGCAGCACACACTCCCTAGCAGACCCTCCCACCTCCTGGAAGGCATCCATTTTAGATTCATTCTCAAGCTGCATGCTTAGTAAGAGGAGGGAAAGTGTAGCTGCTGTTCATAAGATAGGGAAAAGCATAGCTAGGTTAGGGTTAGGGTATGCTTTTTTTTTATTTTTTTTTCTATGTAATGTAATTGCACTTAGTTGTCTGCCACTGCTGCCAGCTTCTGTGTCAGGCTCACAGTGCATACTGTGCCCATTTCCCCAGTCAGTGCCACCACTTACATCTGGTGTCACAATATCTTGGATTTAAAAACAAAAAACTTTTTTCACTGTTATAGATTGAATAGCAGTCAGTTGTCTGCCACTGCTGCCAGCTTCTGTGTCAGGCTCACAGTGCATACTGTGCCCATTTCCCCAGTCAGTGCCACCAATTACATCTGGTGTCACAATAGCTTGGATTTAAAAACAAAAAACTTTTTTCACTGTTATAGATTGAATAGCAGTCAGTTGTCTGCCACTGCTGCCAGCTTCTGTGTCAGGCTCACAGTGCATACTGTGCCCATTTCCCCAGTCAGTGCCACCAATTACATCTGGTGTCACAATAGCTTGGATTTAAAAACAAAAAACTTTTTTACTGTTATAGATTGAATAGCAGTCAGTGTCCTTAAAGCGGGTGTGTTACGCTAACAGTGGATACGCTGACAAGTGCCACTAATTAGATCCTGTGTCACAATAGCTTGGATTTAAAAACAAAAAACTTTTTTTACTGTTATAGATTGAATAGCAGTCAGTGTCCTTAAAGCGGGTGTGTTACGCTAACAGTGGATACGCTGACAAGTGCCACTAATTAGATCTGGTGTCACAATAGTTGGATTTAAAAAAAAAATAATCTTTTTTCACTGTTATAGATTGAATAGCAGTCAGTGTCCTTAAAGCGGGTGTGTTACGCTAACAGTGGATACGCTGACAAGTGCCACTAATTAGATCTGATGTCACAATAGCTTGGATTTAAAAACAAAAAACTTTTTTTACTGTTATAGATTGAATAGCAGTCAGTGTCCTTAAAGCTGGTGTGTTACGCTAACAGTGGATACACTGACCAGTGCCACTAATTAGATCTGGTGTCACAATAGCTTGGATTTAAAAAAACAAAACACTTTTTTCACTGTTATAGATTGAATAGCAGTCAGTGTCCTTAAAGCTGGAGTGTTACGCTAACAGTGGATACGGTGACCAGTGCCACCAATTAGATCTGGTGTCACAATAGCTTGGATTTAAAAACAAAACACTTTTTTCACTGTTATAGATTGAATAGCAGTCAGTGTCCTTAAAGCGGGTGTGTTACACTAACAGTGGATACGGTGACCAGTGCCACCAATTAGATCTGGTGACAGAAAGCTTGGATTTAAAAAAACAAAACACTTTTTTCACTGTTATAGATTGAATAGCAGTCAGTGTCCTTAAAGCGGGTGTGTTACGCTAACAGTGGATACGCTGACCAGTGCCACTAATTAGATCTGGTGTCACAATAGCTTGGATTTAAAAAAACAAAAACTCTTTTTTCACTGTTATAGATTGAATAGCAGTCAGTGTCCTTAAAGCGGTGTGTTAAGCTCACAGTGGATACGGTGCCCAGTGCCACCACTAACTGGTGTCACAATAGCTTGCATTTAAAAACAAAAAACTTTTTTCACTGTTATAGATTGAATAGCAGTCAGTTATCTTCAAGCAGGTGTGTCAGCCCTACAGCTGTACTCTGCCAGTACGCTGCCACCTCCTCTACTCCTCCTACTCCATCCTCTTCCATAACCTCCTCGGCTTAGTCCTCTTCTGCTGCTGCGTCTTGCTCCACATCAACGGATAGGGGACGTAACAGTGATTAAACTGATAACAATAGTACTAAACACACCACTCACTCATCTGGTGTCACAATAGCTTGGATTTAAAAACAAAAACTTTTTTCACTGTTATAGATTGAATAGCAGTTAGTTATCTTCAAGCAGGTGTGTCAGCCCTACAGCGTGTACTCTGCCAGTACGCTGCCACCTCCTCTACTCCTCCTACTCCATCCTCTTCCATAACCTCCTCGGCTGAGTCCTCTTCTGCTGCTGCGTCTTGCTCCACATCAACGGATAGGGGACGTAACAGTGATTAAACTGATAACAATAGTACTAAACACACCACTCCTATCTGGTGGCACATTAGATTGCACGCGCAGTGCCCCAAATTTGTTGTGATCTGTGAGTAAGGTAACGGTTGTCATACAAGTAGGTTGCAGCTTTTTGAGGGCCCACACCACCGCTATGCACTCCTTTTCAATGGCAGTGAATATACTTCACTGTGCAAAAGTTTACGGCTTAGATAAGCCCCGGGTTGCTCGCCACCATCTGCTCCGACTTGGCTCAGTACTGCTCCCAATCCAAGCATAGAAGCGTCTGTATGGACGAGAAAGTGTTTAGTTGGATCAGGAGAAGAAAGTACAGGTGATTTAATGAGCGCCGTCTTGAGCTGTTGGAAGGCCTGTTCACACTCTGGGGCCCATACTACTATCTTGGGGAGGTTTTTACACGTTCCTATATGGCACTTACTGGGCTTTAGGGTCAGTCCGGACTCCCTAATCCGGTCTATTACGGCTCCTATGTGGGTCAGGTGTTCGGGCCAGGAGCTGCTAAAAATGTCTATACCATCCAAGTAGGTGTGTATCAGTGTGTATCAGGGATCCTTAGGACAGGTGTCAATCCATATCTGCCAAGTGACCCTATGTTGGGGTAACATTTCCTATTCTGATCTGTGTCAGTGTGTATCAGGGGCTCTGAGGACAGGTGTCAATCCATATCTGCCAGGTGACCCTATGTTGGGGTAACATTCCCTATTCTGATCTGTGTCAGTGTGTATCATGGATCCTTAGGACAGGTGTCAATCCATATCTGCCAAGTGACCCTATGTTGGGTAACCAAGTGACCCTATGTTGGGGTAACATTCCCTATTCTGATCTGTGTCAGTGTGTATCAGGGGCTCTGAGGACAGGTGTCAATCCATATCTGCAAAGTGACCCGATGTTGGGGTAACATTCCTTATTCTGCTCTGTGTCAGTGTGTATCAGGACCACTGATAGGAGACGCGGAAGGTATTAAACTGATAAAAAATAGTACTAAACACTCCACTCCTATCTGGTGTCACATTAGCTTGACAACGCAGTGCCCCAAATTTGCAGTAAGAGGACCGACCAAGCCTCTTCTTCCATCTCCCTGTTACAAAAATCAATGCCGTGTACACGTCCACTGATAGGAGACGCGGAAGGTATTAAACTGCTAAAAATAGTACTAAACACTCCACTCCTATCTGGTGTCACATTAGCTTGACAGGGCAGTGCCCCAAATTTGCAGTAAGAGGACCGACCAAGCCTCTTCTTCCATCTCCCTGTTACAAAAATCAATGCCGTGTACACGTCCACTGATAGGAGACGCGGAAGGTATTAAACTGATCAGAACAATACTAAACACACCACTCCTATCTGGTGTCACATTAACTTGACAGCGCAGTGCCCCAAATTTGCAGTAAGAGGACCGACCAAGCCTCTTCTTCCATCTCCCTGTTACAAAAATCAATGCCGTGTACACGTCCACTGATAGGAGACGCGGAAGGTATTAAACTGATCAGAACAATACTAAACACACCACTCCTATCTTAAGGTGTCCACATTAGCTTGGCCAGCAGTGCCCCAAATTTGCAGTAAGGCCGGTAAAACCTCTTCTTCCATCTCCCTGTTACAAAAATCAATGCCGTGTACCGACCACTGTAGGAGGCGGAAGGTATTAAGCGATCAGAACAATACTAAACACACCACTCCTATCTGGTGTCACATTAGCTTGACAAGCGCCCAATTGCTAAATTTGCAGTAAGAGGACCGACCAAGCCTCTTCTTCCATCTCCCTGTTACAAAAATCAATGCCGTGTACACGTCCACTGATAGGAGACGCGGAAGGTATTAAACTGATAAAAATAGTCCTAAACACACCACTCCTATCTGGTGTCACATTAGCTTGACCGCGCAGTGCCCCAAATTTGCAGTAAGAGGACCGACCAAGCCTCTTCTTCCATCTCTCTGTTACAAAAATCAATGCCGTGTACACGACCACTGATAGGAGACGCGGAAGGTATTAAACTGATCAGAACAATACTAAACACACCACTCCTATCTGGTGGCACATTAGCTTGACGGCGCAGTGCCCCAAATATGAATTAAGAGGACCGACCAAGCCTCTTCTTCCATCTCCCTGTTACAGAAATCACTGCCATATCCATACAAATTGTACAGAATGTCCAGGATAGTTTCCAGGGACAAATGTTGTCGCCTGTTGAACGAGGTGTGCTTGCTCGGGTCCCAGGTGTACGGTTCCTAAAATGGCTGCCATATACACGTCCACTGATAGGAGACGCGGAAGGTATTAAACTGATCAGAACAATACTAAACACACCACAAATAAGGTTTCTCTCCTGTATGGCTCCTCAAATGATGCTTAAGATTAGAAGCGGCTGAAAAGCATTTCTCACACTCCGAACAAAAATATTTTTTTAACATTCTCTCCACTTTGAACGAAATGGCGTTTGGGAAGAGATTAACATAATTAAACACAGGCAGTAAAAATACAGTTTTTAGCCATACCCTGTAACTTTAAAACTACGCATCCCATCTTCATAATTACATATTTGGAATCAGCACACTTAAAACATAAACATAACCAAAAATCAGCCAAATCCATCCAGGGGTTAAAAAGTTTGCTGGAGGTCCCTTTATGACCGACCGCAAGCACATTTTCCTGCCCAAAACAGTTCCATAGATTTGGGCTGTGAGGTCGGTCTATTTCAGGCTGAAAAAACGACTAAGTCCCATCGCGAATGGGACTTAGTCTCTGCAGCTGAAATAAGGCTGAAAAAACGGCTGAAAAAAAGACTAAGTCCCATCGCTGAATGGGACTTAGTCTCTGCAGCTGAAATAATTTCCCATTTACTGAACCAAGTGGGAAATAGCAAGGCAGGCACAAAGGGTTTGCACCAGGTCTGGGGACACAGGGGACACCGTCTTAAAGGGGCCGTGTCCCAAACAAGTCTGGGGACACGACCTTAAAGGGGCAGTGTCCCAATCTTCCTGATGTCCCAAAAAAGGTGTTTAAAGGGCCAGCACCAGTCACATAAAGAGTCCATAAGCCCCAATATGCCCACCGACAGTCTTAAAGGGCCATACACACCAAATAAAAGTGCATACATTTTTCACAATCTCCCAGGGGCCATAGTCATGCGGGAGGAGGCTGGCAAATAGGCTTCTCCACAACCCATGGCAATTTGCCATTTAAAGGGCCCGTTACAAATAGCAGTTTGTAACAAGGTGTCAATCCATATCTGCCAAGTGACCCGATGTAGGGGGACCAGTCCCTATTCTGCTCTGTGTCAGTGTGTATCAGGGAACCTTAGGACGGGTGTCAATCCATATCTGCCAAGTGACCCTATGCAGGGGGAACAGTCCCTATTCTGCTCTGTGTCAGTGTGTATCAGGGATCCTTAGGACAGGTGTCAATCCATATCTGCCAAGTGACCCTATGTAGGGGAGCAGTCTCTATTCTGCTCTGTGTCCGTGTGCATCAGGGGCTCTGAGGACAGGTGTCAATCCATATGTCAAGGTGTCAATATGTCATATGTCAGGTGTCAATCCATATTGATTGTGATTTAGGAATGTTAGGTGATTTCTGCCCTTTATGGATTAAAACCAGACTCTGTATCAACTGTGTAATTTTCCATGGGAGTTTTGCCATGGATCCCCTCCGGCATGCCACAGTCCAGGTGTTAGTCCCCTTGAAACAACTTTTCCATCCCTATTGTGGCCAGAAAGAGTCCCTGTGTGTTTTAAAATTCGCCTCCCCATTGAAGTCAATGGCGTTTCGGGCGGTTCGCCGGTTCGCGAACATTTGCGGAAGTTCGCGTTCGCCGTTCGCGAACCGAAAATTTCGGGTTCGCGACATCACTAAACATCATTGCCAAGGACAGTTTGTGGCAAGTACACTCACACACATAGACACTCGAGCACCCTGACATACACAGAAACACTCAAAGAGATATACACATGCTAATACACACACAAACTCCCTGACAGACAGACACACACACACACACACACAAACAGCAAGACTCAAAGAGATACACACATGCTAATACACACACAAGCACCCTGACATACACACACACACCAAGACTCAAAGAGATACACACATACTAATAGACACACACACGGAAAAAATCTCACACAGACATACACATATTCCTCTCCATTTTCCAGTGGGTCCGACTCCTGAAGCAGCTACATTGGCTGTAGTTCCTCCCTAAAATGTGGGACAGGATGTTTAGTTTTCCTGGGACTGTCCCATCAAATTCAAGACTGTTGTCAACTATGCTTATGGCTGGGATAATGCACAATAGAGTGCCTTTGATTGTCTAGAGCTGTACTACAGTACTATTAACATCTTATCAATGATATTACAATGTTATTTTTTTATTATTCAATGTACTCATTTATTGTCAGGTTTCAGACTTTATCACAAAGTTTATATTCATTTGCTATCAAATAATAGCAGATGTGAATGTCGATTTTCTGCAGCACATTTTACTAATCCAGTCTGGTTTTATTTTTCTTACTTTCAAAATATGTAAATGGACTTTGGTAATGTAGTCATGCTGGGTACTTCTTTATATTAATCAATGACATATTAACATCTAAATGGAAAGAACTCTGCACCATATACTACTTTATTTTAATAGTGGGACTTTGTGTATACATAGGCATACGTTTTCTTTTAACTAGATAAGCTACCCCAAAATGACACAAAATGAGCGCTACAGAACTAATGGGAGGGGAAGTGAGGGCTGTTTGGACATCCGTTAGGGAAATGGATATTCAACCTTCAGCACTCTAAATGTTAAGGACTACATCTCCCATAATGCTTTTACAGCCATAATGCTGACAAAGCACCAGGTGACACAGGAAGCACCTCTAGTGATCGTCTGGGTAACTGTCACTAGAAATGTCACTAGTAAGCTATGTAAACACTGCCTTTTCTCTGAAAAGTCAGTGTTTACATTGAAAAGCCTGTAGGGACAGGCTATACACGCCAGAACCACTTCATTAAGTGTGTGTGTGTGTGTGTGCCTGCTAGTGAGTGAGCTTATGTATATCAGTGAGATTGTTTGTCTATGAGGCTGTGTATCAATGAGCTTGTGTGTGTCAGTGAGGTTGTCTGTGTCTTTGTGTAAGTATGCTTACTGTATAATTAAACGTTTTACTCTGAAAGGACCATTATTTTATATTAGAAATAGCTATATATATATATATATATATATATATATATATATATATATATTACTCAATCATCTGGGGTGGCAAGACATGACATAGCCTTACATATTACATGTGACAATATATGGCACAATGATTTATGGGGCTGGCATAGATTTTTTTTCCAGGGCTGCTTTGTATCCCCAGTCCAGCCCTGGCCATATGTGCAAATAATATATTGCTGACATGTTTCATAGTATCAAGTTATGAAATATAACTATATACCAATAATAAAGCTGTGTTCTATATAGGTGATTGCATATACAGCTGTGTTAATGATGGTCCTCTCAATTTTGCTGAGCAACAATATAGTGATGTAATTTAGCTAAATTTAAAAAAAACCTGCAACAATTACGATAAGTTAGAAATGTCATTTATTTGCATGAAAAGTGCTTATGACAAAGTTTTGATAATTTTCAAGTTTCTTTAAAAACACATGATATATTTAATAAGACACATATAATACAATTACACATGGATAATTGTTGTTGCATTCTGGTTGAAAACACATATTTTAGACATATTACATTTAACACTTAAGCCACCGTTGCTTGAAGATGCAAGAAAAAACTGATGAAGCTACTTGTTTTTTGCAGTGTAATATGGAGAATAAAGTGGTGTCAATGGACTAGAAGCTTTTAGGCATTGATTTCATATTGTTGTATAAGCTTTCCAAATTATTAATATTTTTGGATAAACTTTAAAAAAAACAATCTGCGTATTAAAACATCAAAAACTTATCCACAGCAATCTAAATATTGCAAAATTAAAACATTATTCATAATATTTTAAATACTTTCAGAAGCACATTCCAAAAATGAATATAATATAGAAAGCTTATCCAACAATATTAAATTGTGGCATTAGCCACCATAAGATGTGCATTGTAAAAGAATAGTCTAAGCTCCTATAGAAATTAACAAATGTCAAATGATTTCAACATTTCCAGAATATTGTGGGTTGTCTATAATTAACTTCATGAAGGAGAAAATAATTCACACTTGAAAGATATTATATTAAAGTTGTCAACAACCTCAGAAATTTTCAGCAAGACAATAGTCAATTAATTTTTTTTAATACTTTACATTTTAAAATCCTAATTTTACCAGGATAGTTCTGGTTGATAGTGGTTGATACCTACTTGGCACAAGGGTGCACATGCAGAGGTGTCAATACCTGCCTAGGAGGAAACAGAGGAGCAGAAGAGGTACATGCAGAGGGGACATCCAGAGAAAACAAAGGAGAGTTATAACCTCTGCATCCTTGGCAACTGGTTCTAAAGTTCTCCACAGCCCCCTGGTAGTATCGAGGAAGCTGACCTAACGGAGATACTCGACCTAAGTAAAGGAGCTTCACTACATGTACAATTTGTATTTATGCTGTCTGCTCTAAGTATTTTCTTGATCAAATTATATGTTTTGAAAATATGAAACATTTTAATAATTTGGGAACGGTTATACGAATCAGACACATATTAAAATACTGAGCAGAAGCCAAGTTTGCTCTTCGGGTTAAATGCTTGATTTATCATACGAGAGCTGAGTAAAGCTGACTGAGCAGTTTGCTGTGCATTTACTACCCACTCCCACATGACCTAAAAATCCAAGAGAAACATCTTGTTAACAAGCTCAATAACTTGTGTTGCGCTTACAGGTGTTATGTCTTCATTTTTATTACAGCAACGGGTAAGTATATTTACATCTGCATAATCCACTCTAGTTTTTTTGCGAGGTTAGCATTCCATCAATTCTTTTTTTTTTTCTTCAGTAAGAGAAAGACTGCAAAAACTCACATAAAATCATTAAACACTATATATATTGGGAAATGAGCCAACTAGCTGGGGTATTAGAAAGCATGAGAACAATGCACTTGGCTTGCTTACTGAGGTTTGCTATTTAAAAGTAGTAAGACTTTTTAAGTAAGAAAATAATGCTTTTTGCTAGAATATTTTAAGGAGTTGTGTTTTTGCATTTAGCCTGCATTTAATCAGGTATTTTATTTCCTTCCTTCCTTTCTTCTAAAATAATCCACAGTAAAAATGAAAATCCAGCTCACTCCCTTATCCACTAAACAGCTACTTTGGTGCTGACCGATTTTGCTAGTTTTATTAAAAACACCTAATCTAGGCAAAAGATAATGGGTGTTTAGTTACATTATATGATCATACATTGCATAAGCTTGCCACAATGTCAATGTACCCCATCTAGGCAAGTCCTACTCTAACATCCAAATGTCTGCTAAATGATCTACTTACTTGGGGAAATACTTCCATCTCGAGTTGATGGGCTACATGGGGTACATTGACATTGTGGCAGGCTTATGCAATGTATGATCATATAATGTAACTAAACCCCCATTATTTTTTGCCTAGATTAGGTGTTTTTAATAAAACTAGCAAAATTTGTCAGCACCAACAGTGGTGTGTGCTGGATTTTCATTTTTACTGTACTTATTTACCCCCAGCTGCACTCCATTTAAGCATGTTCAGGTGAGTGCAGACAACCCTTTGTTTTCTCAAAAAATACAGTATTTGATATCTGTCTATTTATCTATCATTATTTTCTATCAAATATTGTCTTTTGAATAAAGGTAGATTTGGGATTCTCTGAGATTAAAATGAATTACCAAGTACATGATTTAAAGGACCACTATAGGCACCCAGACCACTTCAGCTTAATGAGGTGGTCTGGGTGCCAGGTCCAGCTAGGATTAACCCTTTTTTTATAAACATAGCAGTTTCAGAGAATGATTTTCACAGTAAGAAGACACCAGCGTCCATAGGAAAGCATTGAGAATGCTTTCCTATGGACTGGCTGAATGCGCGCGCGGCTCCTGCCGCACATGCGCATTCAGCCGAAGAGGA